AGTCTTTTTTCGATCGTCAAACCGCGAAACAGTGTTCCCCCCCGTGACAAAGTGCAACAAAAACAGAAACAAAGTGACATTAACAAATAAAGTTTTTTATAGATTCGCAAACAAACAATACGGAAGACTCAACAACAATCAACAAAAGTGGGTGCCAACGAAGAAACCGTGAGCCAGTGAAATTTGGGCAGAAACTAAATTAAAAACTTAAAATTAAAAAACGAAAAAAAACTTAAACCTAGTGAATTTAAAAATATGTTAAAATACTTATTTACTAAATAACTAAAATATACCTGAATTAAAAATAACTAAAACATATTTGAATTAAAAATAACAAACGTCTAATTGAATTAAAAAATAAGTAAAATCTAACTGCATTAAAAGTAAACGAGAAAAAAACCTACTAAATACTCTGTACATATATATATATATATATATACCTACATATCTAAAACCTAAACCAAAAAATACATATATAAAATAACGCTAAACCTACAAAAATTGAATGTGTACAAAACCTAGCCTAAACCTAACAAAATCTGAATAAAAGCCTAAACTGAATTCTAAAAATTAAACTAAACTAAATCTTGTAAATTAAAAAAGGCAAGAAAGGTAAAAAGGCGTAAGTAAAAAGTAAGTCAGTTGACAGATCTAAAAATTTGGTCGGAAAAATAGGTTTTTTAGAAATTTGCACCTTCGGATGAGTTTTACTCTGAAGCTGTGCATACTACATACACAAAATACATATCAAATTACGCAGATTCGCGACTACAATAATCTTTTTTTAGTCGATTTTTTGAAATTCCTGTTTGCGTATTAAAGCTAGAAGTAAAATTAAAAAAAACACTCAAAATCGAGCTTGAACATGTCAGCATCATTTAAAGGCAGATGTAGTTAAATTTTTGAAAAATGATACATAAGGGGCGTAGTCCCCACTTTGTTGGCTTGTAGTTTTACTTTGACACGAAGACCGTGAAATGAGTGGCTTAGTCACAAATCGATAGAGAACAGAAAAAAACGGGTTCGCCTCAACCTGTTTTTACACATTTTTTTACATTAACGTAGACACAGCTTCCACCAAAATTTAGTTTGGAGGTCAATATCATGGACAGTTTGCAACGACAGACCAATTAACCCAGAATTATTCACTTTTTTCATATACTTAAGTAATTCCCGAGTTATAAAGGGGTGAACCTCCGCTTCAGCTATGTTAAAAAATTGGCAATATTGCCCATATATACTTCGATTTGTACGAAATTTGGCGTAGCGTAATGAATTAGGTCTAGAATGATGTGTGTTAAGTTTTGTGAAAATCGGTTCAGATTTAGATATAGCTCCCATTTATATTTTCGTCCGATTTAAGGTAAATGGTGTACCAAAGTCCCATAAGATTTTTCGGTTTGCACGAAATTTGGCACAGCGTAATGAATTGGGTCTAGAATGATGTGTGGTAAGTTTCCTGAAATAGTTGAAATCTATTCAGATTTAGATATAGCTTCTATATCTGACCAAATGAAAAATTTAGTATAGGTTGCAGAATGACATGTTTATGGATCCAATTTCATTTTACTGGTCCTTTAAAAATGCGACGTCTGTTAGGATTCATCTGTTGAATATACCCAAAGTGGTGAAGGGTATCATATAGTCGGTCCCGTCCGACTTTACTACTTTCCTTACTGCTTTTTTGTTTTTGCTTGCCTGCTTTTTGCCCAACATTGATTGAAAGTTTGATTATTTCTCTTGCTTTGGAATGAAAAATGGACAGTATATCTGATTCTTTCCTGAATTTGTGAATTTTTTGTTACGTCAATGTTGCCATGAATAAAAGAATGACATGCAGTTGATATAAGTTTCTAACAACACGAAATATTGCTCTCTACGATCGGAATTTTTTTATATGTTTCTATGTAAGGATGTGTCTTTAATTGTAAAATTCATAAAGAATGTCAGCATCCATATGTCGTCCACATGATGGATTGTATTAAAAATTCGACCGGCCGAACTTAAAAACGTTTTTACTTGTTTATATTTCGGAGGTTTTAATAGCATTATTCATATAAAGGATACTGCAATTTAGTTGTGGATGAAAATATGCTTAAAAATTATTGGTTCAGATTAGTATGTGAGAATTAAAATGTATCCAGTTTACTGTTGCTCTTGATAGTTGAATATAACATGTACTTATAACGTGTGTTTATATGTTCAAACCTAAACTTCTTATTTTTTATTGTCACGCTATTAACGCATCATTTACTAAAACACACATAAAGTTTATTACTCTTACTTAACATTAATTTTTGCCAAGGCAATAAATGTAATGTATGCGTAAACACTAGCATTTAGGTGGTCCTAAAATATAGCATCCTTTTAGAGTCGTGGCAATAAAATTTATTTTTTAAATATACAGTTTTGTTCGTAACCGCGAATGAAACTTATTCTGGCCCTTAGGAAACGTCAGCATGCACATCATTACAAATTCATTGAACATCATTGAGGGTTTATGTTGAAACTTAAAAAAATATATATTTACTAAAGTGATAGTTAACACACATTTCAGAGTGGAACACTTTCACGAACAAATAATACAAAAGTATTACTACCGTGACAGCAACACAATTTTTTACTATTCGATGCACTTTACTATGTCAAAATTACAGCATATGGGCATTGAAAAGGAAACATGACATCTATAGATCGAACATCTCTTGCAAACAGACTTTCTATGTATTCCAGACCTTTTGTAAGATTTTCAAAAAGAGAATATGTCTAAATTTGGACGACATCACAAGTTCGGACCAGACATGTCAGAAAACAAAAACATGTTAATAAAAAATTTAAGCTTAATATGGACCTAGCCAGTGTAAAATTTGTCGGATAATTTGTCGAAGTCCATTAGTATATTTGCCCGTTTTAGAACTGAATCAGAATCTGAATCACGTTCTATTAAGATACCGCTAAAGTTTGATATTTTGAAGGTCATTTAGAAGTTTTACTACGCATTGGTTGCTTGGTATTGTCATGTTATGGCCGGGTCTTAACTTTTTAGGTATTTCAAATACACCATGGGCCTTTTTATACCCTACACAATTATGTTGTAAAGGTATTATAGCTTTGTTTGCCCAAAAGTTTGTAACGCCGCGAAATATTGGCCCTAGACCCACCTTTATGTATACCGATCGTTATATCTCGACTAGCTAGTGTCCGTTCGTCTCTCCATTATAATTTGAATTACGATACAGGCCATAGTTATGGACCAATCGTCACGAAATTGCATGTAGGACTTGTTCTGTCATTAAAATACCCATATTGTTTTTTGATAAAGATCGTTTAATAATTAGATCCCGAAATTGCACAATCTTTATTTTTGTCTGTTTTTCTAATCGCTCTAGACGGTCTTGTGCGCAAGTCCACCAATTTGGAAGACCACGTTCCAAGATGTTGTTTTCTACTTGGTCTTTCCATCTAATTGTGGCCTTCCCCTTCTACGGGAACCATCAGTAGGCTCGCTTTTATATGCTTTTTGAGCTGGGGCATTCTCATTCATCCGCACAACATGGCCCAGCCACGGCAGTCGCTGCATCTCAATACGACTGACTATGTCGATGTCCGCGTATAAATTGTGAAGCTGTCGACGCAGATCGGCCCGTAGATCTTTCAAACACCCCAAGAGCTGCCTCATCTGCTTTCGCAAGTACCCATGCTTCTGATCCATATAATAGCACGGGTAGTATCAGCGTCTTGTAAATTGTGAGTTTGGTGTTTGGCGGGAGGTGGCCTTGTTTCTAAACTGCTTACTTGGACCATAGTAGCATCTGTTGGCCATCACAATCCTTCTCCGAATTTCAAAACTTATGTCATTCGTTTTATTTATGGCGGTACCAAGGTATATAAAGACTTTAACTACCTCGAAGCTGTAGTTCTCAAGCTCCACTGTTGGTCCGAGTCTACTGGACGTCTTGCGTGTTGATACCATCAGCTTAGCCTTCTCGCCGTTTACTGCCAGACCCACTTTGGAGACTCTTTTTTAATTTGTTCAAAGGTGGCTGTTACCGCTCACAATGTTCGTCCCATTATATCGATGTCATCGGCGTAGGCGAATAACATGTGTTGTTTGGTGTACAGAGTGCGATTTCGACGAGCTGTCACCTTGTCTGAATCCTCGTTCTGTATTGAAGGGCTCCGATAGGTCCTTTCCTACTTTAACTGCTGACCCTGTGCCACTTAAAGTTATCCTGCATAGCCGTATTAATTTTGCAGGAATGCCGAACGCAGACATGGCTTTAAACACCTCTGAACGGATAGGGCTGTCGAATGCGGCTTTATAGTCGACAAATAGGTAGTATGTGTCGATATGTTTTTCGTGGGTCTTTTCGAGGATTTGGCGCAGAGTGAAAATCTGGTCAATGGTGGATTTGCCAGGTCTGAAGCCGCCCATCTCAATCGGCTCCTGCTGCTTTGTTGTTCTTGAGCCGAATAATTGCTTTTAATACCTCATCTTGGCTAGGTGGTATACACTCTATACCATCATCTCTTATTGGTTCTGGGATATCTTCTTCATCACCACTATTTGATACTAGAAGCTTTTCGAAATGCTCCTTCCAGATCCTCAACACTGTCTGTATCTGTCACCAGGTTTCCTTCTTCATCTTTACAGGAGGAAATGCCTGCACCAAAGCCTTCGGTTTGGTTTTTTACTCGTTGGTAAAATTTCCGGACTTCATTCTGACTCCTGTACATCTCGATCTGCTCACGCTCACGTTTTTCTTGTTCTTTCTTTTTTTCTGAAAACACGTTTCTCCTCTCTCCTTTTCTCCCGATAATTCTCCATCACGTTAAGTGTCTGCGGGGTTGCCCTTTACGCTGCGTTTTTCACATCAGTAGCATTACGACACTCCTGATCGTACCATGGGTTTCTTGGTGGTGGTTTTTGGTACCCAAGTGATGCTTCTGCTGTAGTTTGTAGGGAGTGGGCAATTCTTTGCCATTGTGCTTCTATAGTATTTTTTTCAGGTTTTAAGTTTGTTGTTTATTCTTTTTTTAATATAAAATTTTATAGGTCTTGTTTTGGATTTAAAACTTAAGCGTCAAAAATTAAGTGTAAACAACTTAAATCCTTGAGGGGTACAACATAATGCGAATGCGGTGACCCATAGCATGACCAGGCAAGTTTTTGTTGAAACGAGCACGAACGCAACCACCATTACCGTGCAAGCGGGTAATTTTGCCCCAAACGGCACGTACGTACGGTCTTACGTTCTGGGTGTTGGGGAACGCACTTCTTGGTCTCAGCTTTGTAAACATAAACACAACGCTTGCCAATGTAGAATTGATCATGTTCCTTTCTGCGGGCACCTTCGATCTTCAAGATAGCTTGGTTTTCGTGATGATTTCTCAAACCACGTTTGTAGCCAGTGAAGACAGCCTTGGAAAAGAGACGGCCATGACGCTTGTAGCCTTGGCGGGGGCAGCAGCGGCAGCTTGTGTATCAGCCATAGTTTAACCGGAAACTTGACAAATGGCGAAAATTATCGGGACAAGAAGTGCATTCTTCAAGCAGATGGGTATGTTGCGGAGTAGGCCTTGGCTACCTATTGTGTTTGCAGCTTTTCGACATCGAGTTTCCGTGTTGTATTAGATCGCACCTTTGCTGCTACATTAGGACGGGTGCGTACCTTGGCTGCCAAAAGGTAATGGTCCGAATCGATATTCGCTCTTCGGATCGATCGGACGTCTAAAACACTGGATGAATACCTTCGTTCTATCACAACATGATCAATTTGATTTCTCGTTGCTTGATCAGGAGTAATCGTCTGATTTACTTACGCCTGTCCCTTTCCATCGCATTTACTGTAAGGCAATAATATCGGCTTTGTACTGTACAACGTGCGCACATATCGCAGATCGTGGTCCTTTATACGTTTGCGGGGCTCATAAACATTGGGGGGGGTTTGGTTCTTAGCTTTATCATAGTAGTTAGGTTTTCCGAGAGTGGGCAACTAACCCGACGCCTCAACCCATTTTTTATAGTTCTTATGGGTGAACTCGCGGCACATACTAGTTCACTATTTCATCGGGTGATGAGAATAGCTCCCCAGGTGGTCAGTGCCAAATCAGAGCCGTTGCCAAAAGCCAATCAGAGCCGTTGCTTGGTATCTATCATCCCCTACGCCACCCGGACTTCTTTGTGAAAAATAATAAAATTTGCATTCTATGTCCTGTAGGACATAGACCTCAAATATTGATAGTATATCTAATGTGTGTATACGTAAATATTTAAGGGGTTATACGTATTTTAAAATGGTTTAGTATTACCATTACCACACTAGAGTGCGGTAATGTAGCACTGATGGTTAGAAAATTTAGCATGAGGTTCGGGTTATGGTCAAGGAGGACATCTATAATTTTAGAAGATGGTCAGATTATATTTCGGGAATGAAAAAGACCGAAAACTTTATTTTTCTCTGCTTTCTAGTCGATCTAGTCGGAGTCGATTAAATCGGAGGTTTTAGCTGCAGTTCCCAAACTCATTCGCTATAATATAGTTTCACGAGGGTTTGGAAACCTTATTTCAAATAACTATCAGTATGCCTGCGGTATGAAAAGGTCTGTCCCGCCGAACTTAACTCAACGTATTAGCAAATAACTAACAAAACATTATACTAATAAAAAGGTCCCGATGGTTTTGCTATGTGTTGGTGGAACTAAAAAGTTCCACCATGTGATGGTGGAAATAAAAAGTTCCACCATGTGATGGTGGAATTAAAAAGTACCACCATGTGATGGTGATAGTTCATCTCGGCTGAACTTAAAGAAGGTGGTTCTTATTCAATTTTTGGCATCGAGACTATTCCAATTCATTGGCCGCAATTTGCTGTATATCAGTTATAATGGTCCTCCGTATATGGAAAGGAGATGTGGTCCTTATTGTAAAAAGCACAATTTATATTTAAAAAAAAGTTTAATAGAGCATAAACATACTCTCGCTAGTTCTTTCTGTCATATTTATGTAGTGTATGTGTTCCAATTCACTCGAACACAAATGACATAACGAGCATGGCAGGATATTATAAACATTCATTCAACACTCCGCAATTCTTTTTGTATTAGTTTTTATTGTGTTCCTTGAACGTTGTGACCGTACCGTGCTTTCACTTTTTTAGCTCCTAACAAATTCTTGAAGACAATTGTCGATTGTGCCTTTAGGATGAAGGGCGAGAACGGTTTTAGTCACAATCGAACGGCTGTTGATGTCTGAAGAAGAATTTTATTCGGTATGCGATACTGAGAAATACGAACAATAGAATTGTTCTTCTACTGCTGAGAATGATGGGTGGCCAGACCAGGCCAGCGGGTAATGTCTCTGAAAATATAGTGATGTTGTTAAGTGTCATAAACGGAGAAAGAAATTCTAAATTCTGTTTGTTTTCAGTTCCGTTTGACTTGCTCGCTGAATAGCAGGTGCAGTCTAGAAAAATTGGGAAAGTGAAATCTTTGTCGTTAGATGGGATATTTGTTGACTAGGCAATATATTTAGGAGAATAAAATGTTTCCCTTTTTGTGGACAAACTTTTATTAAATGCGCAAGGATATTTATCATAACTTTAATTTTTTACCCATGTTACTGGTATATAACATTTTTCAAATAGAAATTATATTAACAAAAATGTGAAATATTGGCTTTAACCTCATTTGATTTGTAAGCCGTGACCTCAAAATCCCCTGATTTAAAATATAAAAAGTGTTTTCGTTTATACCTGAAATTGACTTTTTGCCAACAAATTGATTCCTGGTGCATAGTGTGTTGTGAGAATTTTAAATCCTCTCATTCCTAGTTTAAAAAAAAAAACAACCTTCTGAAATCTGCAATTTTGTGTAACATCCACCATTTATGGAACCAAGATGTATCCATTTTATAAATACATCTCCGCAGAAAATATAAAATTCGTCCATAAATTGGCACTGCAGTTTTATAACAATTTGTGAAGAACGGACAGTTGAGGTGTATTGAGGCCAATAAATAATATACCCTCCATAAAATCTAGGATATCTTTACCTATTTAAATTTCCCTAAGCTAAAATAAAACCACTAACCTCTTCATTAATTTCCAGCCTACCTATCGTTAAAGTGCGGCTAAACATTTTATTTTTTCCTAGCATTAAAATGTGGTATTCGTTTTATTCTGCGCATTGGCCAAATGTCCGAACGGTTGAATGGCCAATATACCATGACGGGATAACAAACCAAGTGGACGCTAACATAAAACGGAAAAGGAAATGGCGAAATGACAAGATGAGAACACATTTAACTTTATTGCATTACGTGATGAAACAATGGAAGAAAACGAGAGAAGGCAAAAATCAATTGATGCACAAAAATATACGATCTTTCCGAATGTAGCAATGACATGAATGCAGAATTGCATCAAAGAAATATGACTTTAACTTGCTATGTTTGCCATGGAAATAGAAGTCATATTTCAATGCAATCATCATTTCCATTCCAAATATGCATCGTCTTCTCTGAAGGAGTCCCGATATTATAATTTAACTGTATGCTAAGATATGTTAGAGGTATTTATATTGAAGTATTAAGAGCTGGAACACTTTAAACATTCAATTGTAAAAAATATGAAACTCAAATTATTATCGCCAACAAGGCTTTAATGCTTATTTTAAACTTATTTACAAATTTAAAATTTTTCGCTTATTTGAAAAACTTCAAATTATCTACAACTTCGATGTTCGAGTCCTTTTATTGAGTGGGCTTACGTCTGGCAGTATTCTGCTTCTGCTCTGTTGCGACTGGTTGAACCAAGGATTCGTTGTTAGGTGGCTACGAACTTATCAAAGGCTCCTTAGGCGGCCGTCTGAAGAAAAGGCTGGTTGGGTGATTACGTTCTAAAGGCTTTCTGATAGTTACTAGCATTGCTCGATCTCGACGCTCATTTCATTAAACACTTCTGCCTTTTTTTAGCAATAAATGACATTTCGCACTCGGTGGACATGTAATCATTGAGTCGCATATTAAAACAAAATGGAACATTTAGAGGACAACAACACTGATAGTGGTGATAATTACCAGGCTATAACTATGGTGCCAAATTTGCCCCAGCAAATGCCGAAGCTATCCCGGGTAAGGGCACATTCGGCGAATTGGACAGTTTTTTACAAAACTGTAAAAATGTTTAACTAATACTGATTTATTATATGTTTTTGCTACTAGTTTTTATAATTAAGTATGAGACGGTAATAATCAGCCATAAAATTTTTATATCTGTTGAATAGTTAATGAAATATAGGGCTCTTAAAACGTGCCGAATCTGCCCCAATCTCCCATACATAGAAAAATATAATTGGTATCAACTTAAAGGCCAGCCACTTCTTTTGGATATACTATCAACTTCTCCGGTCTAGGAGTTAATACATACGTCATAGAATATATTTTTTCATTTTACACAAAAACTCGGTCCATTTGACCTGGTAAATATAGATCGATCTTCATCAAAACAGTAAAATTTCGTGCTGTTTGGGTCAAAATTGTAGCCTCTATAGCGACAAAAAACATGCAAAATTTCGATTAGTCCATAACTGTGGTCTGTTTCGTGTTTAGAAATTTTAATAGACAAACGGACGACCATACCTGTCTACATCGACTCAGCTAGTCGAGATATGATAAACGTGGGTCTAGGACCAATATTTCGCGGCGTTAAAAACTCTTGGGATATAATTACGCCAATTTCGTTGAAAACCGTAACTAAACCTCTCAAATGCTGAAATGTGCGAGATAGCGGTATAAAAGTTTTAGGTAATCTACTTACCTAAAACTCTTAATATTGGTAAATATTATTTCTACCCAATCAGAAACCTAAATATCATGTAACAGCCATTGAAAAATGTGCCAAAAATACCGAATAATAAAATATGTGGGGCTACTACGAATCTTGGACTAATATTGATAGTTTTTGGTAAGAAGATTTCCTATATTTGGTTGCCCACCATAACAAAAATACCGAAAATTGGGTTGTCGTTATATTGGGGCTATATAAAAACGTGGATCAATTTTCAGTACCAACCATCCGAGAAGTACTAGAAATGACAGGGCAAACTTTCAGAGTTTTATCTTAACTCTATGACTTACATTCATTTTGGCTCAACTTAACACGTAGGGGAGAGGGGGACACATTTGAACACTGTTTTCTTTCAAGCCTCATACAATTTTTTATTTTATAATTTTTGATTTCCTATAAATTTTAACAAATAGGTACATATGTAACCTTTACAATGAATAAACATATGACATACTTTAAGCTTGATATAAATATTTTATTGCTGTTTTAAGGGAGGAAGTCAAAGTGTTCAAAACTTCCCCCCCCCCCCAGGGGGCACCTTTGAACAAGGCTTGACATTTTTGAACGGCTTGGTTTTTACAGCGCTTATGTTAAAATATAAATGTCCTTTATTCAAACATATCAGACAT